TAACGAGAAAGTGATTCTAAATTCCATAAATCCCGAGGATTGGACACATTATTACAAACATCTATTAAATGAGAACAGAGACGAATTTAAAGAAGATATGAATTCATCAAGAATCGAAATTCTGGGAGAGCATATTACCATAGATATCAACACAGTTCAAAAAGCTATAGCAGGGATGAAGAATGGGAAAGCAAGTGGACCAGAGGGAGTAACTACGGAATTAATAAAGAATGGCTCAGATAAATTACACAGAATGATCACGGTGATATTTAAATAATATATTAATGGACATCCAACACCAGATGAATGGAAAACAGCATATATGACCCCAATATATAAAAAAGGTGACAGGAGAAATTGTAAAAACTATAGAGGGATATCGGTCACAAGTTCAATGAGTCGACTATACGGTCGAATACTACGGGACCTGATAGAAGAAGATTATCAATCGTCTGAAGACGAAGAACAAGGAGGATTTAGAGCAGGTCGTTCATGTACAGATAACATCTTGTGTCTTAAACAAATTATAGAAAAGAAAGTTTTGACAAATAGAGAGTTACATATGACTTTTGTAGATCTTGAGAAGGCATATGACACAGTCCCGCTAAATAAACTATGGGAAGTCCTGGGCACATCAAATATACATCAAACATTGGTTAGTGCTCTCAAAGATCTATATTATGGTTCAAACTCCCAAATGAAATTCGGAAATCTCTTAGCTGAAAAATTTGCAGTTACTAAGGGTCTCAGACAAGGATGTTGTATCTTTCCGACTCTGTTTAAGATTTATATCTCTGCAGCTCTGAAACAATGGAAAAGGAAAGTCAAAGGAATGGGTATACAATTGAACGATCAGGATTACATATATACTTTACAGTTTGCAGATGATCAGGTGGTGATCTCAAATGACAAAGACGACATGGAATACATGCTTAGAAAACTAATTGAAGAATACCAGAAATGGGGATTAAATATCAATTTAGAAAAGACAAAATACCTCTCAATTGGAGCTGAAGCAGAACAACTCGATATCGATGACAATCAAAAAGTAAATCCATGTGACGAATATAAATACCTGGGCGTCATCTTCGACCGTAGTGGAAAAGACGAACGAGAAATAGAACATCGAATTGTACAAGCACGAAGAGCTATAGCATGTTTGAACGGAGTTCTATGGAGTAAAGAAATATCAAAGAAAAGAAAATGGAACATCTATGAGACAATGGTTAAAACTAGCCTACTTTATGGAGCTGAGACATGGAGAATAACCGAGAAATATAAGAAAAAGGTCGAAGCCACGGAAATGGATGCCATCAGAAGATCGATGAGAATATCAAGTGCCGACAGAATACGGAATGAAGTGATAAAACAACAAATGGGTATAGAGGGCACTATAGTTGAGGATATTGAGAGAAAACAGCTCATATGGTATGGACATGTGAGCCGAATGGGGGACGAAAGATTGCCTAAAAAAAACGATGATGTGGCAACCCCCGAGAGAAGAGGAAACGAGGAAGACCACCACAGAGCTGGAACCTGGGAGTTAGGAAAGCGATTAGCGCTCGAAATCTGGACGAAGACCTAACTCAAGACCGAATACAGTGGCGGTTGGGAGTCGGACAATGTCGTAAGACGTTATAAAACCGAATGTATATATATGAGCTTTTTTCTTTTGAATAATAAGATCTTTAAGTTTTATTGAGAACCAAATTAGGAACTTGTAGGAACACTTGACAGCCTTCATAGGAACAAAAATATCTAAACACTGATACATATAGCTGTAAAATATTTGACAAGCCTCATTTATATTGTTACAATGGTATAATGCATCCCAATTAACTGAAGACAGATAAAGGTTAACAGAATTAAAATTACAGTTTTTGAAATCATAAACATAGTCTTCATAAAAAACCCACTCTTTAAAATAGTCAATAGGGATAAAAAATGCATATGGCTTATGCCTGAATGATTCACAAAATAATGAATCGATTGGCATACACACATTTAGATCAGGTATATGTGAAAAAATGAGATCCAGGAATGTCCCGTGTCTGTTTGGTATATTATTGCACTGATGGAGATTTAAAAATGCAAAAGATCCACATACTGTAGTCACATGCGAGCCATCAGGAAGTAAGGTAGATAAATAAACCCCATTTAGATCATTAGTTTTGATCATTGAGAGGATGATCCCTCAATTGTCCCTCCTTAACATGTATATCAAGATTTGTTTCTGTTATCTTGAACAGAAATAAATATAAATGATGAGCCTATAGGATTTAGGTATTCCATTGTCTTACCCTTATGGTTGTCCAAGTTGTTGGTTATAACCTAGAGCTATGCTAGCCCTAAAGTTCTTTGTTAGGATGGGCAATAAGAAGTCCAATCTTTTTTGTAATAGGGCAGGAAATATTCCATCCTCCCCTGGAGGCTTAAATGGAGCCAAGTGGTTTATGGCCCACTTTACATTCTCCAGTTTGTTGTTTATGCAGATAATTCTCAGTCTTCTATCCTAGAATGTTTTGTCATTTTAAGTTTTTTGTTGATCCTGTGAAGTGATTCTGTAGTAACTGCTAAGTAAGGTCTTTTAAGTAGGCCTGGTATCTGTGCCAGATCCTTGGAAAGGATCTTAGTTCTTGGTTTATTAGTTTGAATATTTGGGGACTATGTCAAGTCTGACAATGGTATATAAGAGATTAACAACAGAATTCAAGGAGATAATCATTGTTGGTTTTGCCCTACAAAAAGTAATGAAATCTTGAAATATACCCTGCCATAGGAAAATAAGGATTTATCATTTAGTCATAAGGCCTATGATGACATATACTTTTAAAAAACATAGATGTTGATGAAACAAAATAGGAACCGACTAGAAATTGCAGAGAGAAATTTTAGAGGACCAGTAAAAGGTAACATCACATAGCAATATAGAGTTAAGACTAGCAAATAAAGGCAGATTATGAAGTCCAAGTTGTAGTGCTAGAGAGAGAAAAAAATAGTTTAACACGTCTAGAACAACAAAACCAAGTACATATAACTTTTGAAGAATATTATAAGATGGGCTTAGTATAAACTGGTCATAAACATCTATTATCTGAAAGAATCTTGCTAAAATAGTACCATAATACCAATTTTAAGTGAAAATATGGTTATTTTGAAAACAATTTGCAAATTCGAAATTGAATTGTAAATATAAATATATGTTCAAATAAATTGTAATCCCCCATTAAAATTTATAGATAACAAAAATGCCACAGGAAAATCGTTTCAGAACCACAGTTATTTTTAATCGAAGATAAATATAGAAACAATATAAAATACATTACTCTTATAAAAAATATTTATATTACTATTTAATTGTCTTCAGTTTACTATCAATGATTTCTTGAACATTTTCAATGGTTTTATTTAACTTTTGATATTTTTTACTTTTATTGTCACTGTATAATTCTGCGGCTATATTCACCCTTTCACAAAATATTTCAGTTTGTCTTAAGTATGTATTGAAGTCCATAGATTTTAAAAATTCTTGCTGGTCTTCTGACAAAACATTTTCATTGTACACTACAGTTTTAAGTCCATGTATTTTTTCCTTATACCACTTTTGGTCGACTAATATGCCACTGAGGTGAGACTTCCATTTTTCCGTTTCTATATTTACTTTGTGGATATAATCTGGAGGATATTGGAAGTTTTGTTCATCATTGTCGGGAAATTTTCGACAAACAAGTTTATCTTCGCCATATTTATACAATGACAAACGTCTATTAGAAACCAAATCTCGTTCTTCCATAATATATACAAATTTAAATACTATAATAAAACTTATTATTTTTCATAAACTTAACGTTATTTATCCAAAATTCAAATACATGGTGTTAATGTTGACTTTGACACAGTTGACAGAAGTGACCTATCTTCCTATCTATCAAACATAAACATAACATAAACACACGGTTCGTAGACTTCTACGGTTGCCTCTTCCGACTGGGGTGGGGATGCTTGAGTTACGTCACAGGAGTACACAAGAATACAAAAACCCATTTATTCGCGATTGAAACTGAATGTAGAGGGCAGGTCGATTGCAGTGTCATGGCCGATATAAATGGTATAAACAAAAACAAACATAACATTCGAATATTTACCATTGCTTTTCCATGTTTAGTTTGGTTTAAGACGAGTAATTTGTATCATTTAATAATGGAAATTAACCTTAATGATATCTTTGAGTATTGTGGTGAAGCAAAGAGTCCATTGGTTGAAGGGGAAGCAGTTTTCAAGTAATGAATTCCTAAATTTTAACTTTAATGTTTCGAACTGGCTTGTGTATTGATGATGATGAATCCTATTTTGTGTATACCTGGGAACCTAGAATATAATATTCTGTGTAATGTTTGCCTTAACGTATATATGCATTATTATACCTTATGTTTTTAATATGGTAATTTTTATTTTATACTATTTTTTGACATATGTAAGTACTTTATTGTATATTAACATAAATAAATAACTTTAACTTGGCTTTATTGTAAAATAGTTCATTTGATTACATGAAATCAACCTACTTTATTTATAAAACATTTTTGTTTTGATACATCCATCCAATCACAGGGCTGAATGTTAAGATTTAAATTACGTCACAGGAGTACAATCCGGCTTAATGTTCATTGGTTAGGCGGAAGAGGCAACCGTAGTAAGTCTAGGAACCGTGACATAAACATATGACAATTTGACATTAAACATCTCGATCGATTATCTCTCTGCCACAGAATAATATAAAAAATACGTAATTATCCAAGATAAATATAAAAGTCGGTAATAATTATGTATAGTACATAATTACCAGGGTTTAATTTATAAAGAATGGAAATAATATTTCTCATAATACAAATGTAAATACTATAACAGTTGTTTTTTTATATAGTATAATTAATGTAGATGAATAGTTCAAACATAAAATGTTTCTACCGGTACAAATGATCTACAGCAAAATATGATATAACATAACCTAATTTTTACATGGATTAAGGAAAATGTTAAAATATTTAAGTATTTGCCGAAATTCTTCGAGGCAATGGACACTTTTTAATACATTTAATAAATATAGTCCGCCGCGGCAAACACCAACTCAAAGATATCTTAGTGAAAAAGCTTTAGATGTTAATACAAACGTTGTTAAAGATGTAATTTTATATAAATATGATAACTCTCGATATTATAAATTAATGAACTTGTTTGCATTTGCCCAATTTGGATTTTGGACTTATTTATCATATACAGCATATACCACGTTAAAAGATGCTCCCGTTGACCCTTCTAAAAGTGAACATTGGTGGGAAAAAATTAATTTGGGAGAAAACAAATACAGAAATGGAATAACCCTTTGCACAGGCCTTATAGGTAAAAATACACATTTTTCTAAGTTCTCAATACATTTAATTTTCTTGTTAATAAAGTTCAGATTTCTTATGCTCCTTTATTAAGTGTAGTGTTAGTTCTTCCAATTCTTGTCTGCATTTTGCTCTTTAGAAATGTACATTTTTTATTATCAGTTCTAACGATCATCTGTCTATTTTAATCATTTCTTTAGCATTCTCAAAACTATAGTATTGATACACTGCTGCAAATAGAATGTGTCTGCGGAATTGTCGATTTTTATAAAACATTTTCCTGGTTAAATACATGGAGTGAGAATGTCATGTGTTACAATATTGAATTATATTGTACTGACAAATCAATTTGTAGGTATATGTCTTTCACATCTGACATTCATATTTATTGGTTTATTCTAAGAATATTTTTGAAGTTCTATATGTCTGTATGACCTGTTGTGCACATATTCTGAATTTTCCTTATTGCATAAAAATGTATGTAAAATGTATGTAAAAAGGTTAGTAGAGATGTTTAGAACATACATATATGGTTATTTTTTTTTGAAAGTTTAAAGGCAAATATCGAGCACAAATTGAATAATCAAATCTTGCCCAAGTACTTTCGCTTTCTACAGCAACATCTGAGGCATTTCATCAAATGTGGGCTATCCAGCAAGTGCAGAATGCAATAAACATGAAATTGAACATAAATTGTACATAACACTACACTAAAACAAGAACAAACAGTTTAAAATTATTTAAAAATTATTCTACGTTCTACATTTTTGTTGGCAACAGGAGACAGCATAGGCATCCATTCTCTCTCAAATTTTGTTTTGAAAAGAGTGGACAGCATACATGTAGTATATTTTGTGTCATTTAGCTAGTGGCATTCTGCCTAGCAATTTTGTGCCTTTGTGTAAGATGCAGATATCTTGATAGTATTTTCACATCTATGATGCAATTTGTAGTTTGTGTATCTACAGAATATGAACTTTGTTCTCTCCTTTTAAGACATGGCAAATTATCAGCTTTTATTCAATTAATATCTGCTCTTAAACATCAGCTACTTTAAAAGCGATATTTTTTTAAACTATAAATACTTTTAGCTTGTTCAGTTCATTTCTATTAGAATCCATTCTACCTTTTTTTCAGCTCGTTACTTTCAGCATCCCTTCATTAGATGTGATATTTTTGCTGTAGCCAGCTTTGTATAATTGCTTTTAGACTTGGCATGATTACATTCTACCTGTAGACTCATATATGAAGTACCCAGTAACATTATTAAATCTTATTCTACACACTATATTATTTTCATAAACCATTTTATTTATTTATTTATTTATTTATTAACGGATATACCATTTTTACATTGGAACAACATATATATAAAATTTTACAAAGTAAGCACAACATTGGAAAATAATAGTAAAGTTTAACAAAATTAATAATTAACTTGAATACAAACTAATATCAAAAACTAATAATTAACTTCAATACAAACTAATATTACACAAATAGCAGTCTCTTTATCACATTTTTAAATTGTTCTAAGGACTGGAAAAATAAGTCCAGATCACTTTGGTACCTATTATATAGTCTCAACATATTAGTAAGCAGGGCCGTTCCTGGCGGGTATGCAATGAATGCCCCGCACGCAGGCGCTAAATTTTAGGGGCGCCAAATATTTGGTTACCGTTACAAAAATATTCTTACTTCTAAAACAAAAAAAAGTCAGTGTTCAGTATTTCCCCGGTAAGCGCTAAAGCAATCACTTCATCCGTTTGTTATTCACTATTATAATACCAAAATTACTAATTAAATTACCAACCTACAATTTTATTAGTGTCAGCATACGACGCGCCATCTAATGCCGCACGCCACTCACTTTTAATGTTTTGTGTTGCCGGCATGCCGCCCGCGTGGTTGTCTTAAGAAAAGTTGCGCGATGCGCCCGCCTCTGACGAAATTGTCGTTTGCGCAGCAAACCATAACGTTTTAATTCAGTCGTTAGATTTGTCTTATGGGTTAGGATGTTCTGTTCGCAATATCATTGTCATTAAAGTTTATTGTAAATACATCAAGTTTATTGTAAATTGTAAGTTTAAGGCGGCAAATAAACTGCTTAAAGTAAGTAAAATAAGTTAACTTATTTACTTAAATAAAATAAAAAGTAAAGTAAAGTAGTAAAATTTAACAGTTTAAGAACCTTAAAATTATTCTTCGGGTCAGTTAAGTATCAATGTTTATTTACAACCATGTATGTTACGTTGACATTGAAGACCTTTTATAAAAGTTTGAAAAACCAAATTTCTAGTTTTAAAATCTATCCAGGAGGAAAGTGACATTTACCCGGATGAAAAGTGTATGACATTAATTTTCCACCCAGGTAAATTTTAACATCCTACGAATAACCAAAATGTTTGTTTAAATTTTATTAGATTTTTTTTTAATTTGCATTTAAAAGATATGGTTCTGAATAAAACAGTACCTATACAAACCTCGGTGAAAAAATTTCATTCCTGTCTCGACGCTATACGCCTCGGTAAACCATGTTTTTCTCTTGTTAAGAATTAAACACTTCAACTCAGTGTATAATATTATATATTGTGAATGTATATAATATACTATTATTTACAACCATATACGTAAAACATCACTTATGACATTTTTGAGAGTTGGAAAGTTCACCTTTTGTGACTGTTCTGATTTTCAGATAAAAATTGATTACCTGTTTAATTTCTGCCCAGAACAGCAAAATATTACTCAATTATTTTGGATGAATCTCCAGTTGTAGCGATGTTGAGCAGCTGACGGTCATAATTCGCTTCGTTTATTGTTCTCCATATGAAGTCGAAATTAGAGAACACTTTCTAGGTTTTTTCAAAGTTTTAAATACTACAGGAGAAGGGCTTTTCCATTTTTTAAAAGAAGAAATATTATCAAAATTTGAAATAAACCTTGATAATAGGAGAGGTCAGGGTCACGACAATGGGGCAAATATGTCTGGTAAGCATGTGGGCCTTCAAGATCAGATTCTAAAAATTAATCCCAGAGCAATGTTTTTGCCTTGTTCAGCTCACACTTTTAATTTAAGTGTCAATGATGCAGCTAAAATTTCATGTGAAACTGCAGGTTTTTTTTCAATTATTCAGGAGTTGTTCAATTTTTTTTCTTTTTTTTTCAATTATTCACCCTACAGATGGGACATTTTAAAAAGGAATGTACCAAACTTAACTTTAAAATCAGTAAGTGAAACACGATGAGAAAGCAGAGGCAAAGCCATTCGCCCTCTTAGGTTTCAATTCCTCGAAATGTGGAAAAATTTACATGATTTGGTGGAAGATAATTCAAGAGATATGAACACGAAACGTTCAGCAAGGTCACTATTAGACAAAACTTAAACGTTCAAATTCATTTTTTCTATTATAATTTGGCATGATGTGTTAACAAAAATTAATATAGTAAGTAAAATGGTCCAGAATCCAAATACAACTTTAAAATGAATGCCACACAGAAATAAAAAATCTTATTATTTATTTCACTGAAAAAAGGTTAGACAAACATTTCGAGATTTTCATGAATGAGGCTGTAGCAGAAGCAGAAAAAAGTGATGTAGAGCAAACATTTCCATTATTAAGATAAAGAAAGACGAAGCTTCAATTTTCGTATGAAGGTACAGATGAAACAGTATTCGATCCAAAACAAAAATTTAAGATCAGTTTTTATTTTCAAATTTTGGACACAATTCAATCCCTACAAAGACGCTTTGGGGGAATAGATAAGTTACACGATTTATTTGGATTTTTGGGTAATTTTCAAAATCTAGATTCTGATGTGATTAAAAGATCATGTATGGATTTGGATTTAGCTTTACAAATTCAACATGCAGGAAACGTATGCAAAGATATTGATGGTCTTGATTTGCATAATGAAATTCTGTCATACAAAGTTCTTAACCCATTCACAGACTCTGGCAAAATTTCGGATTCGCCCATAGATATTTTAAATTATATAACAAAGAAAAATTTACAATCCTTGTTTCCAAATCTATTTATAGCCTTGAGAATATTCCTGACCCTTCCAATTTCGGTGGCATCTGGCGAAAGGAGTTTTTCAAAGCTAAAGCTAATAAAAAATTATTTAAGAACGTCAATGTGCCAAGAAAGGCTATCAGATTTGGCAGTCATTTCAATTGAAAATAAAATTTGTGAAGCCATTGATTACAATAAAATGATTAATGAGCTTGCATCTGTGAAAGCACGACGTGTCATGTTGTAATTCCAATATTTGTTTTATTTTTCACTTGGTAAACAAAAGTTTTTTTGCATTGAGAGTATCTCCTTTCCGTTATTGTTTCATGTTATATTCCAGAATGCCTTATTAATTTGCGAATTGAGTGTTTTCTTTCTTACTGTTAACCTACATAATAATATTGTTTTAAAATGACCTTTTTCTTCATTTAATTTTGAAAATAAAACCTTTTTTCAAACAAGATTCGTTTTATTTTTCTTTTTCCATTCATATCATATTTTCAATCATATCACAAGAACATGTTATGATATAGGTATCTTAAAAACATAATATGGGGGCGCACAAAAAATCCTGCACGCAGGCGCTCACTACCCTAGGAACGGGCCTGTTAGTAAGAGGCTTGAAGAATTCATAATTAAATTGATGAAATGGCAGATGAAACAATGAAGTATGTCTAGTTCCATGAAGAGTTTTAAGACCTAATCGATTTAAAAGTTCAGGGCAATTTATCAAATTATTAACAATTTTGTAAAGGAATATTAGGCATAAATAATCCTTTCGCTGATTAATGGAAACCATTTTTAAGTGATTAGCTATCATACTATAACTGTATGGGACAGAAAGGTCATGAAAAGCACTACGGTAATGATAGTGTTTACAAAATTTATGCTGAACACGATCAAGCTTGTCAATAGAGGTTTGATAGTAAGGTCCCCATACAACTATTGCATATTCTAGTCTGGAACGAATGAGACTATTAAAAAGAATTGGTAAAACAAAACATGAAAATTGAGAAGTGTTTCTAGTTATAAACCCTAATTGTTTAAATGCAATGTTTACTGTGACCTCTAGATGATTACGAAATGTTAATTTACAATCAAAATAAACACCTAAATCCTTAACACAGTCCTGCCTTGACAGCTGAGTGTTATCAATGCTATAATCGTAATTTAAAATTGTTTGCTTTCTGTGAAAAGTAATAACACAACACTTATCAATGTTCAATTTTAATTCATTTAGTTTGCACCAATCGCTAAATCTGCTGAGATCCTCTTGTAACTGAATTTGATCATACTGACAAGTAATGACTTTATAAATTTTTTTATCATCAGCAAAGTTCAGAAATTTTGAATTCTTAATGACTTTTTCAACGTCATTAATAAAGAGGACAAAAAGTAGGGGACCACAATGTGACCCTTGTGGTACTCCAGAGAGGACGTCAACAGATTGAGACAACACACCATTTATCTTAATGCTCTGGGTGTTACCCACAAGAAAACTATCATACCAATCAAGCCATTTGCCAGCTATACCAATGGCTCCTAATTTACTGATTAAATAACGATGATTTACTTTATCAAATGCCTTTGAGAAGTCAGTATAGATGCTGTCCACCTGGTACTTCCTCTCAAAGGCACCCAATATATCATCTTGGTAGACCAACAAGTTTGACACTGTGCTCCTCCCCCTTTGAAAGCCATGCTGTTGGGGTATTATTATATTGTCTGTTAGTTTTGATAAGTGAGAAGTCACTAGTTTGTCGAGAAGTTTTGGGATTGCTGACTGTATACAAATTCCTCTGTATTTTTCAATATCCTCTCTTTTACCTGACTTAAAAATGGGTACAATATAACTGTTCTTCCAGCAAGGAGGGAACTCCCCAGTCATAAGAGATAAGTTATAAAGATATTTTAGGGGAATAGTAAGTGAGCATAGACAGTGCTTTAATAATACCGGTGGGACTCCATCAGGCCCTGAGGAGAATTTGTTTGGAAGTTTACTTAATTCATCAAACACAGATATAGTGTCAACTTGAATTAGGTTTACAGGGTCAATGTGTCTGACACAATCTTTAAAATCTGGAATGGGAGCACCTTTATCTTTTTCATATACACCAGAGAAGAATTCAGCAAAAAGGTTAGCAATTTCGATATTGCCCTGTGCCCTTCTGTTACCGAGATACATTTCTTGGGGGTAACTCAAAGATTTACGAAGTCTGCCAATGTATCCCCAAAATTCCCTGGGGTTATTACTAAAATTTTTTTCAAGAGATGAAAAATGTTGTTTCTGACAAAGTGTATGTTCAACTTTACATTGATCACGTAGATTAGAGAACAATAAGTAGTCCTCATTTGAATTAGATAATTTAAACCTCAGATGAGCTTTTTTCTTTTGAATAATAAGATCTTTAAGTTTTATTGAGAACCAAATTGGGAACTTGTAGGAACACTTGACAGCCTTCATTGGAACAAAAATATCTAAACACTGATACATATAGCTGTAAAATATTTGACAAGCCTCATTTATATTATTACAATGGTATAATGCATCCCAATTAACTGAAGATAGATAAAGGTTAACAGAATTAAAATTACAGTTTTTGAAATCATAAACATAGTCTTCATAAAAAACTGACTCTTTAAAATAACCAATAGGGATAAAAAATTCATACGGCTTATGCCTGAATGATTCACAAAACAATGGATCGACCGGCGTACATACATTTAGATCAGGTATATGTGAAAAAATGAGATCCAGGAATGTTCCATGTCTGTTTGGTATATTATTGCACTGATGGAGATTTAAAAATGCAAAAGATCCACAAACTGTATTCGCATGAGATCCATCAGGAAGTATGGTAGATAAATAAACCCCGTTTTGATCATTAGCCCATTGAGCATCTCTCAGATTGTAATCGCCAGCCAAGATCACAGAACTCTGTGGATGTTGACTTATCAGTTCCTCAAGAAAGGTGCAGTGATATTCATATGCCTCAGCTAATGAACTAGGTGGTATATAGATTCCTCCTATTATAAGCTGATCATCATTCAGTTTAACTTCCACAAAAAGTTGTTCTATGTTAAGCAAATTTGACTTACATATTAGTTTAGAGGGTAGGTTTTTCTTGATTGCAATATACACTCCTCCGCCCACATTGTCCAATCCATGCTGATAGCGGTCCTGTCTATAAACATTATAGTTTAATAGATCAGTCTCACTAACCAAAAACTTTTCAGATAACCACGATTCAATCAAAATAACAATATCATAATCATTTAGTAGCAAAGAGTCCCTTAACTGAGAGAGTTTAGTTCGAAGTCCACCAACATTATGAAAGTAACATTTTAGGGTACTTCTCAGTTTTTTGGCTGGTTAGTAGTTTTTTTCACTATTGTAGGCTTATTGTTAATGAATTTGATTGTTTTAGAATTATCACCATTCTTAACCATATCATCTAATTGTAATTTGATTTTCTTGAAATACTCTTGCTGGGCTTTTGTTTGATCCAGGGAAATTCTGACATCGGGCACTTTAATTAATCTTTTATTTTTGACAACAGTTTTAGCATCATCAGCTGTATTTAATACTACTTTAATGGGTCTCGTTCTGTTAGCAAATTTTCCCAGTCTAAATAGTTTAACATTATTTTTGTTAATATTAAAATCAGTCAAAATATTAAGTACCGCTTGTTTGTCCTCTGCATTACGATCCGATTGATTATTTTTAACAGATTCATTAACATTATATATAATTATATTGGAAGCCCTATTTTGCCTCTCCAGCATTTCGGAAATAATATCCTCCATATCTGGTGCAACAGATGCGACATTTTCCTTATGTAGAATTTTATTTATACTTTCCTTAAGCTCACACACTTCTTTTAACAGAGCTGGTACCTTGTGAAATCCAACTTCGCACTGTTCGCAGAAAAACTTTAGTTTACGTTTCGTTTTCAACTGCATGCATTTAACTTCAGATGCTGTTAGATTACCACATTCCATACAAAGCACAGTTCTGCATCCATCACAAGCAAAAACTTGATTTAAGTCGAATTGGTTATTACACTCAGCGCATGTATCCATTTTATTTATTAAAATATAGAACAAATATAGAAAACTTCCTGGACTATAATCACAAACTCAGAACCACTTAGTCTTATCAGCACATTAAGTTTTTTATTGTCACTATTTAATTTTGTTCAACAACTTTTTGTAGTAAAGAAAGGATTTAACATCAAAGTTATTCAATTAAACATCTAGTTACACTTAAAATTTTCTAGGAATTTAGTTATATACAATTTCAATTTTAACTTGTCAAAAAATTGGAATTTTTTGGCCAGTTTAAACCATAAAACAACACATATTTATGGAGCAGATCAATTTACAGTGTAATTAGTGTAATTACTTGATGCCATTGATGCCTTGATGCCAATAATGCCATTTTTCATGGCATTTGCCTGCCATTCATTTTCTCTTGGTAGTGTTCAGTTTTTTCACATAAACACAGAAACTTTTTTAGAAAGCCAATATCACTGTGGATATGGATAACAATTTTGCACTTTTCTTTACCTTATGATGCTTTTTTACCTGTAGATAAACAACAAATACTTAATGATGAGTGTATAAAAGTATCTTGACATAAATTTGAACCCATAGATCAAAAGCTGTAGACTCTAATGAAATCTGAGCAGGATGTGCTCCCAGAGTGTAGGTGACTCTAGAACAGCCTCTGAAGCACTGGATAACCTGACTTAAAATCACTCGTTGTTGTAGAACCGGAGTTGGGCCTGTTTGTAGCGATATTGGGATTTTCGAGTCAACTGGCCAATAGGCAAGTTGTCAAGAGGGCACATGTATCGGCACATGCATAGTCAGCGACTGAGAGCGTCTGATGAAGAGGCAGAAGCCTTACTTTTTGGTGCTTTATATTTAAAACAAATATATTCTTATCTACCTACCTACCTTTCTATACCCTATTCTTTCCAAATCATATATTTATGTCTTATGATATGGGATTTCGCCACCGTGATTGAGTTTCACTATGATTTGCTTCAGCATATTGATAAGAATAATCTGTTTAGGGCTTGGATTGTTGGTTTTAGAGCCAATCACATATATGTGAACGTAAGGTGAACTTAAAAAAATGATGACACATCTTTAAAAAGGCAAACACGTAACAACGCAAAGACCCAATCATGACAGTATAATTCTCTCATCATCAGTAATCTAGAGATATCTATTTTTTCACTTAGAGTTAGTTAAAAATAATTTTTCTTCAATTTAAAGGTAACAAATTGTAATAATGTCTAACTAGGCTTATTTTTTCTTTGTACTAGGATGGGGAATCCTGGCGGTAGTTTGGATGTATTCATTGCGATCAGTAAAGTATCTTATCCTCAGAAAAGGTGGCAGACAACTTACAATAGTTACATACACACCTGTAGCAGCCAGTAGAATGTTTACGCTGGAGTTAAATAATCTTAGCTCTGTTGATTCAAGATCTACAGCCAAAACGCATATGGCTCTAAAAGTGAAAGGACATTTTATGTATTATATTGTAGATATGAAAGGAGAATTTAAAAATCCCTTACTGTTTGACCATACTGTGGGTATTCGAAGAAATTTGAAGAAATGAGTGTTGTTTTGTGTAAACATATAATTTTAAAGAAAAATAAATTTTATTTTGTTAGTTTTTATACTTTTTTATTTGTATGTTTTTTCATCATAATCATATCCACCACTATAATCTACAATTGATGTCCCTTCAGGTATGACTATGTCTTGTTCTCTCATGCAATTTAATTGTTTTTAGATATCGCTATACCTATCATATGTAGTATGTACTTCTTTTATAATTATATATTATATATATATATATATATATATATATATATTATATATATATATATATATATATATATATATATATATATATATATACAGTAAACCCTCCGTTAACCGAAATAATTGGAGGGGAGGGGATAGGTTTCAGATAACAAGAATTTGGGTTAAAAATATCATTGTTTTTTTTTGTATTCTTCTTGTATCACATTACATTATATTCCTAGTCAAAGTTGGTATTAAAAAATACTGAGGTCATTTCGTAATTTTTTCTAAGTAAATACAGAATAACATAATAAAATTATGGAAAATGAACAAGTGTAACATGTTTTTTTTTTACTTTTGCGTGTTCCTTTAACAACGTTTTGCAGCTATATCTCTCCATCGTTTCATTTGCAGAACGTCATGAGGTTTTGCAGAACGTCATGAGGTTTTGCCTCATTCGATTGTTCGACGAAACATAAAGCAATCTGAAAAGGACAAAACTTTATGCAATGACAACAAAAGTTAAGAACCTAATCGTGTCCCTAACTAATTAGGCCTACTATATAAAATTCTTGCCTCTAAGGCATTGAAAATCTCGTCGGCGGTCTCATGCTGCCTGTTGTCTTTTGGGTCGTCGTCTGATACGCTCAGGTTTTCTTGATGAAGAACGATATCAATGATGTCCTGGTCGATGAATTCACTTTCTGAGTCATCGGTTGCTAACCACTTACGTATCTCTTCTTGGTTAATTTCGTCACATCCTGGCAAATGGAGAAGGTAAATCCTTCACCTTCATCGCAAACTATCTACGATAACATTTTTGCCTTCTCTTGAATTATTGGTCCAGATAATGCTATTCCTTTGGATCTTTGTTGTGTGAACCACAAATAGACAGCTTTATTTACCTTCTCATTTTGACTTAGTTTCGTTGTTTTCTTGTTTGTCATTTTCGAAGCATGATCCTCAATATTGCTTTTCATTTTAAGCCATTCGGAAACTGTAGAAACACCAAAATCTGATGCACTGTCCGTCAAATCTGTCCATTTTGAATCCGAAGGAGCCTCTAATTTCTGTTCAATTGCAATCACAACACGTTTCCGTTTGTTTGACATATTCCCGGTAATACTGAGAAAATTTTGATGACCAGACCTGATGGTCACTGCCGAGAGGGAAGTTTAAGGATGGTCGAAGATGTGGACAATGCCGAGTTCCTAACGGCAAAAGCTTTGGTGAGAATTCGAGATGTCGTTCTTGTAAGTGACAGTGTGTTCCCGTGGTTCGATTTGTTCTTCTAATGAGAAACCATCGAATCCAAGTATCCAAAGGAGCTTGTTGAGATGGTGATTAAAAGGTGCCAAGATCTTGATGATGAACGAACTAAAAACGTGAAGTCTATGCTGATAGAATTTCAAGATGTTTTTGCCATTGGTAAGAAAAATAAGGGCAAAACATAGTAAAACATCATCATCAAGACAACAACCTAGACGACTTCCATTTGCGGAAAAAGATGAAGCCAAAACATCATCAAAGATATGTACAAACAAGGGGTAATTGAACCATCAAACAGTCCATGGAGATCGCCAGTAGTGCTAGTAAAGAAGAGAGATGGTTCAACGCGTTTTTGTATTGACTACCTTGACAACTAAAAAAGATAGTTATCCTTTGCCCAGAATAGACGATACTTTGGATACTCTTTTTCGTTCTCGTTGTTTCTCCACACTCGATCTGAAAAGCGGATATTGGCAAGTAGACATAGAGCCAGCTGATCGGGAAAAAACCGCATTCTCGATAGGATCAGGGCTTTGGCAGTTCACGTTTATGCCCTTTGGTTTGGTTTATGTACTGCCCCTGCCACATTTGAAAGATTAATGGAGGCAGTTTTAAGAGGTCTAACATGGAAAACATACCTGGTTTATTTGGATGATGTAATTGTGGTTGGAAGATCCTTCGATGAACATGCCAATAATCTGACAGAAGTGTTTCAACGATTGCGGGCAGCGAATTTGAAGTTAAGTCCGAAGAAATGTCACATGTTTCGATGAAAAGTGAAGTACTTGGGACATATTGTAGCAAGTAAGGGTGTAAGAGCTGATCCTGAAAATCTTACAGCAATTAAGGATTGGCCAGTACCAAGAGATAAACACGAAATTAGAAGTGTTCTTGGTCTATGTACATATTACCGACGTTTTGTTAAAGGATTTTCCCATATATCCAAGCCAATAACAAAGTTGACAAAAGAAGGCAAAGAATATACATGGAGCGAAGAGTGTCAAAAAGCTTTCGAACAATTACAAATGGCTCTGATCAGTGCACCGATTTTAAGCTACCCTAGACAGGCAGGAAAATTTGTGTTGGACACCGATGCCAGAAACAGTGCAATATGAGCTGTTCTCTCCCAAATCTAAGATAGACAGAAGAAAGTCATCGCTTACTTTAGCAAAGTCTTGTCGAAACAAGAAATTAACTATTGCGTTACCAGGAGAGAATTGCTAGGCGTAGTGAAGGCTTGTGAACATTTCCACAAATACTCGTATGGCAGAAAGTTTCTTCTTCGTACGGATCACGCCGCTTTAAAATGGCTTCTACAATTCCGTAATCCAGAAGGCAAGATGGTTAAAACGATTACAAGAATATGATTCCGAGATCGAACACAGGGCTGGAAGAGTTCAGTTAAATGCTGATGCTCTTTCGAGGCGACCGTGCAGTGTAAATTGTAATCACTGTCTTAAATTAGAAGAACGACTTTGCCCCGTGAGACGAACCACCGTCATTAATGATCACTGACAGCCTCAACAGCTGCAAGACGCTCAAGCAGATGATCCATGTATAAAAAAGTATTAGATTAGATGCGTCGAAGTGAAAGACCTTCTTGGCAAGACATTAGTGCATGTAGTCCAGAAGTCAAGTGTTACTGGGACCAATGGAATTGCCTAATGCTAAAAGATGATCTTCTGTATAGAACCTTTGAGAACGATGATGGTACAGAATCGAAGCTTCAGTTGATTGTACCTAAAAATAAAGTGTCAGAAGTATTGCGTCAATTGCATGACGGTGCATCAGGTGGACACTTTGGTATTACGAAGACTCTGCAAAAGGTCCGAGAACGGTTCTATTGGGTGAACTGTAAAGATGATGTAAGAAGATGGTGCCGGAAAAGTGAACTGTGTGCAACCAGTTATGGTCCAGTTGGTAAAAAGACGGCACCCATGAAACAGTACAATATTGTTAACTGTTTTAACTTTTAGCAGATGATGATCGGTGCCACATGATGGCCCTCTGGCTACTTGCACATCTTGTATTTTAATTGTAGTTATCTGTCTTACAATGCTATAATCTATTATAGATTTCAGATTTCTGTTCTGTTGTATCCACGTGTATTTGTGTATATCGCGATGTGGATAAAATCCATTTAATATTTTTAAGTTATTTTGTGTACATGCTGTTATTAATCTGCTTCCATTATCATTTCTGGTATTTTCGCTTCTTACTGCTTCCTTTTATCGTGATGTTCATTTTTATCAATCTCTGATTAATTGCTTCCCAAGAGGTAATATGTCTTCTTAAAGTTTTGCGAATAACAATAGCAACACCTTCTTGTGCTCTTTGATCTTTACTTACTCCACTATAGAACAGGTCATCCCTTTGCAGCTCTTATTTAAGATGGCGAGTATTCTAGAACCCGACCAACTTCGGAGTACTGTAAAATACAGAGAAAATCCAAAGAAAGCAATCAAATTAAATAAATTTGTAAATTATTCAATGAAAATCCCTCTATGATATTGCTCTGATGTCATTTTATTGTAAAATTACCAAAAAACAAGTTCTAAGACTCAAAAGAAATTTGTTTTAAAAGTTTTAGTTATTGTTGACTACTATTAAAAGTAATAGAAATAAAGTTATAGACAATTTAATTTGCTACAAATAATGTCTGATACATTTTTTTGTAGGGTTGCTAGTTTACGAGATACAGCGCAAAAACTATTTTCCCTTTTTCCAAGATGGCGGTTTTGGGGCGAGGGTTGCGACCCCACAAACTTAAGCTTATCCTTAGCCTACAAACACATTTAAAAAAATAAAATTGCTTCCTCTAAGAAATGCGCAGGCATAAAAAGGCATAAAAAATGTAACATCTCAATAAATCTAGATTGATATTGTCAACCAATATGACATTTTGTTGATTATATTTTTCATTTATGTCAATTTAAAAGAAAATGCAGGGGAAGTTAAAGACAAAATTAAAAGTTATTCATACGATTAGACCAGCAATGGCGTTAATTTCGAAGAGCAGAGTTAAAAGAGAAAGGGAACCCATAGCACAGAGGTGGTCCAGAAGAATCCGATCCTTACCTCCGATTCCTATCAGCATGTTGAATCCTGGCAGAAAAATGGCCAAGAAAGTTTATTCGTTTCCTATCAAGGAAGAAAAAGAAGTTACTGTGAAAAAAATTAAAACGTTAGTACATTAGTATTTAAGAAACATTCACATCGTATCTACATTAATAGTTTTAATTGATAAGATAAGGTCTTTTATCATCATCATTCTGGCTTTGTAACCCTACGTAGATCCTAGCCTCCTTAAGAATTTTTCTCCAGTCGTCACTATTCTCCGCTAAGCACGTATTTCCATATTTCTCATGTCTTCATCAATGTTATCAAGGAATCTTGTTGTAGGTCTTCTTCTCTGATTAATGGGTCTATCAGGGTCGGTGTTTCTAGCTGGGTCATTTTGTTCCATCCGCATTATATGCCCTATCCACCTCAGACGTCATATCTTAATATGTTTTACGATATAAGTTCTTGGTATGTTCTATAAAATTTGAAGTTATATCGTTTTTTCCACACTCCATTGTCATTCACTGCTCCATAAA